GGTTCCTTCAAAATGACTTCGTGCTTTTTGGAACCCTCTACGCCTTGACGAAGATGATACCACTTTCATCCCTCAATATGGCGCGATAAGGAAGTTATAGCGATTTCCACAAGGCTCGCTAGGCTCGCTGACAACGGTAGGTGGACGAGGCGCGGTCCGAGCTGCTTCCGTCTTTAAAGTATCCTATTTCAAAAAAGTCGGGACGCAGTTGCGGCTGCCGCATCGATTTCTGGCAGCCACGTCCGGCACACTCGTCCAGGCCCCGCCCCCACTGCTAAAGGGAGGTCTGTGTTCAGGGTGTTCGCGAGGTTTTTTTCGATTTTTTTTCCACTGGGGGGTTACAAATGGGCCACTGCTTCGCGACTGAGCACTTACCCGAACACTTGATCGCGGGAATTGTCTTTTTAAGCATCCATTCTATAAGATTGTCCGCTGGTATCGCTTTTGGCTAGAAGGGGGACTTCGAGGCGAAGTATGGAGACGGGGTTACCGGAAAAAGAGAAAACGTCACTGGGATAAGTTTGCGCGCCAACTCTGCCTATAAAACGTACACACTACTACTCCCACAAAATCTTTTGCATTATCACAGGTCATCGCAGACCGTTCCTTCATGGGACAGGAAAGCAATGAGTGAAGAGGTTTCTTTCTTCCCAACACAATATCATGACCGATTCAACTGCTAAACTTTCGAGTTCGAAAAAATGAGAATGTTGGCGATGTTTGTCTGAGTAGTGATAAGAGCAACAAGAAATGAGTAGATGGAGCCTGCCTTACCACTGTTGCTAAACTACTGTGTAAGCCATTTTATCCTCAGTACACTGATACTACTGAAATGTTTTCGACCGCTAAACTCTCTGTATTTCCAGCGAATGCTATAATAGATGTTTTTGCAAGCGGAGAAGCACGTTACATTCGGTCATTAACGGGAAGAATAGGGATGCATTGGTGGTGTTTCAATGACTGCAGTAGCCAAGGGCGCGAGAACGGTACACAACCCGCCCCCCCCTCTACAAGATTGCCCCCAACTCCTGCCCCTTTTTTTCCAAAACTTCCGAAACTTCCCACCTTTTACGAAAAATTGTTGCTATCGGGGAGCGGGAGGGGGCGGAAATAGAGGGGGAGGGGGCAATAGGTACGATTGAAACAGGAAAATCACCAGAAGTCAACCGCCACTCTCGCAAAAGCCAAAAAACGTAATACGACCACCCCTCTCCCAACAATGAGCGAACACGACCCCCTCCCCCTTTTACACCGCCCATGAAGCGAGAAAAACCAACTAACAAAATAAATTCCCTAGCCCAAATTTCGACCCCCCCCCTCGTGCGCGACGATACGAGCCCCCCCCCTATTGGGATTTCCCAACAACGATGTGCCCTGCTCACCATGCGATGTGCGTATACAAATCTAGGGTTGAGTATAATTCTCCAGTGATCTCTAGGAACAAGCTAGCACCAACTGCGTTGACGTGGGCGGATTATAGTTCCGCACTCCAGTATGAAATATACTTCTACCGAAATTAAAGGAGAAAAAGCTCAGAGCCAAAAACCCGGCCCCAAAAAAAAAAAGTTTAATTTTTTTTTTTCAAGCCCCGGTTTTTTTGGGGTGGAAAGTCCGCCTCGGTCGATACGACCTCTCTGGAAGGAGTGTCCACACGACTCTCTTTAATTGTTTTCGAGATATTGTCACGGCTGTGTCGCTTGTTGTGGCTTTGAGAGGGTCCTTAGATTTTCGATGATGTACTGGAATAAAGCCCATTCGCACCACGATTTCTCCTGAACGGTGGAGACTTAAGGCAAAGCTTTCAGGACGGTGTCAGTCCGAAAAAAACGCGAAAAAAAAGTTTTTTTGCTGAGATGTCGGGATGTTGACTTCAGTGGACACTGCTTTTTGAGACGCAAGACATTCTACCACATTTGGAAACCAGAAAACTTTTTCTCTTCCACTAAAACTCTACATTTCTGCTGTAGGGCCCATTATAACGAGAATTCGCCCGGCGCGAATTTCGGTCTGAAGGTTCGCTCTAGCAACGACAACACGGTCCCTTCCCTGTGTTTCCCTCATTCGATCTATGAACCTCAGAAAGCTTCTGATGCTCCTCTTATTTTTGTGATAAATAGGGTCGCGAAAGACGTTTATCTGGCTTCTCATGTCAGCCTGAAGTCGATTACTATCCAGACTTGTAGCGACGTCTATGAGAACACGGACCTCAAACATTGTCTACAGTAACACGGACATTATTAAACAACGTTCTGAGCCAGCTCATGGAATCCTCTTCATGCTTAGGTGTACGTAGTAGAACCTATCCTGTGTTCGTTTAGCTCCACTCAACCTCTTCGGAAATAAACTCAATTCCCTCCTATATCAGTAGAGATAGCGCACTCCACGACGAAGCACAGAAGCTACGGTAATGTGATTTATTGCCACAAACGATCTCACTACTCTGCTCATCATTAACAACTGCAGCCCATCCCAGCAAGTCTTCTACGATCCCACCACCCCGTTGAATGTGATGCTCAAATGGTGGCTCACAGATGGGTGAATCACTTTTCACGAATGCAGCAACCCATTGACGAGGCATATAACCTACTCTGGAGCACCCTTTACCACGGACTAGATTGGACTGCACTTCGGACCTCTGCTACAACTGCGCCAGTGCGTTACACAAGTCCTTTACGCTGACGACGTTGCTAGCGCCCAGACAGCTCTCAGAATGAAAGATTAGTGCGTTTGGGCGATTAGTAAGAGCCGAGCAAATGGGCTGCAACTGCTTCAACTACCAGCGCTCATAATAGTGCAAACATGTTTACTTCGAAGGAGTACCTGATACCATCCTCTTCCACAGCAGTAGCTCTCGGACGGTCAATAGTTTCTTAAGCAGGTCTTACATGGACGGGCGATAGGTAGGACCTATTCTTAGAACTTGATAAAAATGTATTTCTCCCAACAGTTGGCCTTGGTAATCCAAGGTCGTGCTCATCTTTCCCTCCTCAATACGAATTTGACCACTTGGTTTACTCCAAAATTCTGGACAATAGCAGGGCACGGAAAATGTTGTTCGTGTGACTTCCACTTGGAAGCCGCAACCTTCATTCGCGGGGAGACTGAAGGGGAAGGAATCCCTCGAATGCATAAATACTAACGGAGCTTGTGACCGAAAACGTACGCCTCCGCGTAGTCTAGTCGCTGCGAAGAAGGGCGTGTCGGCGGGATGGCGTTTGGCGCGGTGCCGAACTCACTTTCCAAGAAGCGACTAATCATATGCGCGACTCACTCGTTTCTACCTGTGTTGGCAATCCGCTTCAACAACGCAGAGAACGGTTCGCGGGCCGTGGCACACTCATAGTACCCGACACGCCCTTTCATCCGCAGTGAACTAGAGTATCTCTATCTATCTATCTTAGAAGTGTATGCAGTACCAGTCCCAACGAACTAGTCACATCAAAATGATTGATTTTTAGCTCGAAATGTGGATAATATTGATAACCTTCATTCTTCATCTAATGGGTATGACATTAGTTGTCGGTTCAAGTTTAGGATTCTGCTACAAGGTGAGGCTTTCACTACAAGATTGCATACTTTTTTGAGCCGTACTACCTCCAACAACAGGGACAAGTCCCGCTGATGAACTGTACACGCACCTTTCTGGGCGGTCAGTGCCAGGACGTGCTGGGATGGTCCGCAGCTGCATTGTGCTCACGTTCTCCGCTTGGAAACTGCACACCGGGAATGATGTGAGGGCAGGATACCTGGGCGCCGTATTCACACCTCTGCGCGTTCAGTTCCGGAATTAAACGACTCTTTGTTGGCGCGAATCGAGCGCTTTGAACTTTCGTCACACACACATACATACACGACATATACACCACAATAAGAAGCATTGCACGCACGCACAAACACGCACAAACTACACAGCATACGCAGGCACTAGAGATTAAGAGGCGAAATAGGCCCTACATATAGGCAGAAGATACACATACAAATGGGAGCGAACTGACAAACAGACACAGCATACACGCAGAGCAGCACGCGAACAACAGAAAAGAGTGAAAGACAGGCACAAATACAAACAGACACACAGACACACAAACAAACGGAGCGGCGGACAGACAGATACACAGACACACATAAATACAAGACAGGTGCAGAGACAAACAGAGAGACGACAGACAGACCGACCACAAACAAGAGCGACACATTAGACAGAGCGACAACAGGCACACACACGCACGTAGACCGCACGCAGACAGATACACATACATCTACATGGGCACATACACCTAGACAGGCACAAGGCAAGCAGGACAGAGTGACAGACAGACACACAACCAAACGTAGCAACAGATAGACAGAGCGACAGACAGGCAGACACACCGACAGACACACCAACAGACAGAGCTACAAACAGTCCGAAAGGTAGACAGACAGAAAGGCAGAAAGACACGTAAACAGACAGGCACATACTCACAGACAGACACATAAACACACAGACACATACTCATAGGCAAACAGACACACATACACACGGACAGATTCACAGACAAAAAGTCAGAGCGAAAGACAGACAGATATGCGGACAGAAAGACAGACAGACAGACAGAAGCAAAGACAAGCAAATAGACAGAGGGCAGACACGTCAACAGGCAGAGATACACACGCACAGACAGAAACACAGACAGACAAACAAACGACAGTCAGAGAAACAGCCGCCTTCCCCCCCCCCCCTAGCAGACACACACATTCACACAGGCTGAAACACCAGACAAGGCAGAAAGGGCAATGATTAGACAGAACGATTCATTGCTAGTAAGAGGAGCTACAGTAGTATCCTGTATATGAATTTGTCGCGGAAGCAGAGTAAAATACCGCTGGAAGAGCGATTTGTTTATAAGTATTGTTATATGATGTGTCAATTTGGATGACAAACTTTAACGAATGGATTTTCAGAAAAAGAGTGGCGCAAGTTTCCCTGAAAAAGGCTCAACACTTAAGAAACCCGCTACACCTATCAGTGAAGTGGCAGCGGTGAGAACGTGACTAAAAGTTTAAAAAGGAAGTGCGAGCATTAAAACAATTCTGCTCCAGAAAGCGGAAATGGCGAAAGCAGAGGCTCCTGGCTCTGAAAGGACTGATTCCGGTGCTTCATTGGGCGCTGATAATCCTCAGGTTATAGCGATCATTAACGAACCACCTGGTGACGAGGTTTCGGTGAGCGCTATTGGTGATTTGTCCTGCTGGCTTTATACTTCGTCAGAGCGAGACTTCAGGAGGGCTATCTGGATAAGTTGGAATTTGTTCTGGAGACTGCAGGGACGTTTATGTGGGGTATGAAAAAGCATATGGCAGCCGATGAGGCAGCATGGAGGGAGCTTGCTAAAAGAATCACACTTCTGCGAGCAGAGGTGGGTAGAAATCCTTTATTATGAGAGAGCTGACGTCTTACAATCATAGAAATCTTCGACTTAGGGTTATGACGTAAGGGCTGGTACTAAAGAAGCGAAACTTCGGCGGCTAACTTCGACCCAAAATACAAGTCTTATGGAAAAAGTGACCAGAAAAAAGAAGGTCGGTTCCCGAAATTTACTGATTATTATCAGGCTTATTACCGTATTAAGGTGAAGATAAGCGGAAGCTAATAGATGCTGCCCTATCCCTATCACGGTCCCTAGATCAGCATATGTCGGCTTCATTGCCACTGTAGACCGCTACTATCTATTGGGTTGGCACATAAGTACTTTCGTTTTTTTTCAACCGGAAATTTCGTTCCAAAGATGAAATGTTTTGCTAGCAAGCTTGATATCATCTGATAGGAAACTTCACGTAGTTTTAGAATATCGAAACGGCTTCGGTTGAGGGAATAATTTTTGTGGATTTTTTAGTCGTTGAAAGCGAAGTCGGCGAAAATTAGCCACTTCGGCGAAAATTTAGCACCTTCGACAACTGCCTCTATTTACGTATAGTCGAAGTGCTAAAATCGCTTAAGCTGCTCCATACATTTGGGAAAAGGTCGAGCTAGAAGTTCCAGCAAGGGAATCTCACTAGGACGCTTTGGAACGAATTTCAAGAATTTTGAAGTTACCAACCTTCACCTCGCCGATATTGGGCAGCTCACGTCTGTTCCACCTGAAATTTTATGCTAATATTTGAATGTTTCGCTGATATTTTGCATGTTCTGATAGCAAATTTCGTGCTCTATAACACTGCTATAGAAATCTGTTCTCCAGAGGTGTTTGCTTTCTGTTAAGTTCAGGTTATCATTACGGAACGCGAAGTCGTTGAGAACTAGCGTTCCGTTCTCCACGAATTTTATGCTAACATTTGAATGTTTCGCTAATGTGTTCTATATGTTCTGATAGCCAATTTCGTGCTCTATAACACTGCGTTGCAGTTATTTTGAAAATCCGTTTGATGAACCTTGTTTTCAGGTGGATAATATGGAATGTCAGGTCGATAAGCATCAGCACTTCAGACATCTCCTCCTTTTCGCATTCAACAGAGGTATCAGTACCATTCTTGAAGCGTCTGAACCAATTTTGGGCTGTTTTGAGAGAGAGGGCATCTTCTAGACACTTCGCGAATTTCCCGAGCAGCATCAGCAGCTCTGATACCTCTGTTGAATGCGAAAAGGAGGAGATGTCTGAAGTGCTGATGCTTATCGACCTGACATTCCATATTATCCACCTGAAAAACAAGGTTCATCAAACGGATTTTCAAAATAACTGCAACGCAGTGTTATAGAGCACGAAATTGGCTATCAGAACATATAGAAACACATTAGCAAAACATCCAAGTATAAGCATAAAATTCGTGAAACGGGAACGCTAGTTCTCAACGACTTCGCGTTCCGTAATGATAACCTGAACTTAACAGAAAGCAAACACCTCTGGAGAACAGATTTCTATAGCAGTGTTATAGAGCACGAAATTTGCTATCAGAACATGCAAAACATATCAGCGAAACATTCAAATATTAGCATAAAATTTCAGGTGGAACAGACGTGAGCTGCCCAATATCGGCGAGGTGAAGGTTGGTAACTTCAAAATTCTTGAAATTCGTTCCAAAGCGTCCTAGTGAGATTCCCTTGCTGGAACTTCTAGCTCGACCTTTTCCAAATGTATGGAGCAGCTTAAGCGATTTTAGCACTTCGACTATACGTAAATAGAGGCAGTTGTCGAAGGTGCTAATTTTCGCCGACTTCGCTTTCAACTTCAACGACTAAAAAATCCACAAAAATTATTCCCTCAACCGAAGCCGTTTTGATATTCTAAAACTACGTGAAGTTTCCTATCAGATGATATCAAGCTTGCTAGCAAAACATTTCATCTTTGGAACGAAATTTCCGGTTGAAAAAAACGAAAGTACTTATGTGCCAACCCAATACCACTGATGACACATACTAGGATTCTCCGCGTGCGAGTTCTCCTTTGGGCAGCGTTCATACTTTGCGCCAGCGACCACCAGCAACCACCAGCGACCATCAGCGTTTCGAGTTTTCCGTCAGCGTATACTAAGAAAGCATAGATAACGATTTGAGATGGTAGCATTCTGCAGCGTCTACCAGAATCCACCAGATTCTGTCTCGCAATCGACAGGGCCTAGAGAGTGAGGAAGGAGGAGGATGAACGAAGCCTGCGGGCGCCGTGACCTGGCGTCTGCCGTTGGAATCAGCGTAGCTTCTTCCGTACCACACGACACAATCCGTTCTCCTGGTCGCGGTGGTCCGTTTGAACGTTCGTGATCTTTTAATATGACTAAGACGATTTCCAAAACTTCCAGAATATGAATTAGTGCTCATACTTCAGAGACGTGGGCGACCTCGGCGAATCGAATCCAACCGCGGAGCGATAACATGCTTGAAATGTTTTTGCATATGTCAGTTCTTAATACAAATTTCGAAATTTTGAAAAAACTTGAAAAATATTTTTCATTTGTTGTGTCTGCAATGTAATACATGTCACGCTTAGGGAACCACAAACTCATCTCTTAGACACCTAGGCTCTCCGGCCGTTGGCTAGATCCGTGTTGCTGCTGAGGACGCTTTGTCAAACGTACTGGACTTGTTCCCTGACTAGCGTGGCCGTATGAATTTGAGCGTTAGAAAGTTGGAGAAATCCTATCGCTTCCATGGAGTCTTGTCTCCCTCGAATCCAAACAAGTTTTGTTGCCTCAATCGACGAACTGATACACATCGAGTATTTATCGCGCACTGCCTCACGATGCGACGCGACGAGGCGTCATATCACGGCTATCTTGTCCTCCTCGGGCGGGCGCTGGGTTTTCGAGCGGGGGTTCGGAGAATCGCTAGTCCCTGATCCACTAATTGTGGAGGCGGGCACTCGACCACAATTGGTAGAGAACAAGCTGGCGCCTCTCCAAACGCGGCTCTCCTGAAACCACTCAGCGAACAAGACTGCACGCCATTCCCAGAAGTCCCCAGGAGGGGTGCGTGCAGATGCCTTCAGAAGCCGAACAGCGCTCACATCTCATTGGAATACTGTGTAGATGAGAGGCGCTGTCAAGGCACAGTGATTGCGAGTACCGCCCATCCAACTATCGAGGATAGTGTTTTCACGTACCGTATAACAGAACTAGACAGACATGACTAGATCTTACGGACCATCGTCCATATTACCCTCTGGCCGTTGCGCTTCATCGTCAACATAAGTATGATGAATCGTTTAATACTTGCCAAGGAACAAGGTGAGGCTCCATTGATTCAGCCGCGTCCCCATGGTGTCCGATTTTCAAAGCATAGTTTATTCAAATCAATAAAGCAGAACAATATGCAGTCCAAGTGGACATGCCTCTATTATACATATTTGCACCATCGAATCGATTGCTTAAAAGTCTGTCATTCCTAAGTAGTGGGTCTGGGATCAATTTCTTGTCCTTGAGGTTTTCCTGAGACGCTCTTTGACCGATCGAGCACATTGAATTACACAGACCGGATCCTAAAAAGGATTATCCCTGAGAAAAGTAGCTGCTCAACATTTGTGAATTACATTGCACTATACTGACCTTTGCAATATCGGAGACAATGTAGTCATCAAACAGACGATCACAGTGCTCGATAGTTATTGAATGGCATTCTGGCTGCAAAAATAGTTCTATGCGAATGAGAGTGTATGTCACGGCGATGTAATGTGAGTATCTACGACCATGGAACACTATGGCTGGCACATAGCACGGTCAAATATGACGGTCAGGAATATTCTAGTGATAGAAATTTCGCGAAGATTATTGTCAAGTGCAACAAGAGACCAGGCGCTCACAAAAGAGCTCTTGGGGCATTTTGGTGAGTAGACGGGGCTTGCTGAAGAGTGGCTTGAAAAGACAACAGAGGCGGTTTACATATA